AATCAAATTTAATTTCAAAAATTTCTCTATTTTCAAATAAAACTATTTTTACTATATGAAATATGAAAGAAAATTATTATTTTGCAAAATCAAATTTAATTTTACAATATTTAACCGATGCAGCAACAACAAAACTCTCCGTATATAAACCAACTTGTAAATAAAATGCTTGGAGCTTTGAAAGAATCTAAAAGCTGTCGTGTACAAAACGGATTTCTTTAATCTCCTTATTCCATAACTGTAGTTACAAATGAAAAAGACTTGCTCTCCATCATTAAAAAGTAGTCAAAAAAAATTCAATCAGAATAAAGTATTTAGAAAAAGTTGCATATTCCCTCAACTTACCTAAAAGTATGCAAAGAAATTTAGAAAAGAAATATGTCGCTTCCGTGAAGCAAGTAAAAACGCAGTTTTTTTATGCATTTTTTACAAAATTTTTCTAAAATTAGTACGAAAAACCATTTAGATGCATTCTAATACTCATTTTTAAGCAAATCCACTTGATCGCTTACCCATTCCGCTTACCGGTTCCGTTTGAAAAAAAAATTAAAGCAAAAATATATATAAATAATAAAAATAAAGAAAATAAAAATGAAATACAAGACCCTCAAGAATACATTCGTGCCTAAATATTTTCTAAAATTTCTCCAGCGAAATCATAAAGTGCATGTTTAATACCTTCCCTCCAATTTTTGCGCTATAACTTAGTTTGCGATTAAAATGGAATTCTAACAGGATCCAAAACATAATAAAAACCATTTTTTTATACATATGTTTCTTTTAATTATTGCGCCAGAATCAAAACCATAGATAAAACTCTATATTTTTAATTTTTTTCGCTAATACTTATAAATAAATGATTTTCGGAATAAAATATTATTCTAATCGAATCCAAAAAGTCAGAAAAATTGAAAATTTTTAAATTTCCCATATTTTTGACATTAAAACATAATTTCGAATAAAATAATGTACTAAAATCCAAATCATGAATAATAAAAGAAAATTTCCAATATTTTTGCGCTAAAACTTAGTTACGGCATAAATGAAAACCCAGTGGAAGTGTGCAATCTTTGCATGTAAGCTTTTTATATATGAAGTCTCAAAAGTATCTTTTTGTTTACAATCAAAAACTAGAATATTAACATATACATAAATACATGTCTTCGCACTTAAAACGTATGTGTAATTATGTTTACAAGCAATTGTCTAAAGTAACTTTTATGTTTTTTTTTTTGTTTTTTGTTTAATTGTATTTTTTGTTTATATTTGTTTATATTTTATTTATACAAAATTAAAGGAAAACATTTTGGGCAACGCAGTGCTAGTTAGTGCAACTCTACGCCCACCATTAAATAATAATTGTTATAATAAGTTATTATTATTAGATATTATTATCAGTTTCAGTTTGGTCAATTCCTTTGACGATCACAAAGTCAAAAGAGCTGACAACTAAACGTAATTTTCGAGTACGCCTAAACGAAATTACTAGTCTTTCCTCTTCTATGTGTGTGTGTGTGTGTTATAAGTATGCAGTATGCGGGCAGCAATGCCATAGAAGTTGCTTCTCTCCTCACGCTTAACTTACAATACACAGTACAACAAAATTTATAAATACCGTTATAATGATTTCTTTTCTTTTTTTGCTGTTTTACTTTCTTTCTTAATTGATTGGTTATTGGTTTTCATGTGTGTGTGTGTTTTAGCTTTTTACAGACTTTCATTTATGCCAATGTATGCGTGTAATACATGGAAATTCATAAAAATATTTTCAATTTGCATATACACACATACTTGCATATATAATTATGATACGCTTTAGTTTTCAAACTAATACTAACTATGTAAGCTGCTTTGAATTCCGTTTTTAGTTTTTGTTTTTTTGTTGTTTTTTTTTTCCTTTCCTTTTTTCAAGCAATGCACGCTCACTCGCTATAAATGACTTGTTGCAATTGCCAAGCGCTTGACGCCACTGCCACTCACATACACACATATCTACAATGCAAAACGTTCAGCTGTGACACATGCGCGGCAACTTTTTAAAAGTTCATAACACTATGTGTCATACATTAAACCAGCGCTATAAAATAAAGCGTATAATTTACAGACCGAAAGGTGTGTTGTTGTTAAATATAAGCAATTTTCGCGCACTCATTTTGAATGAAAGTGATTTTCGCAATTGTAAATTCTTTTTTTTTTTTTTGAACGAAAACTTAAGCTTTTTCTCCAGGAGACCGAATATACATAAGTAGTATTGTAGGCGGCGTAAACTTATTTTGTTCCTTTTTTGCAGATATTCTTACAGTTATGCACATAAATATTTCCTACTTATAAACAATATATAAACAATTTCTTAGAAATTCGCAATCATTTTCATAAACTCATTTTCAACTTTATTCTCCACATAAGATATTAACAACAACTGCCTGCCAGCCACGCTTCACCTTTTTACTTGACTTTAGCATGTAATCCCTAATGGCAATTTGTTTTGTTTGGAAAATTAAAATTTATATAAAATATATAGAAAATTGTATTTCTCGTTTTTCTTTTTTTTTTTTTTAGTTTCATTTACATTTCGCTTATTTTCAAATAAAACATCGATAATATATAATAGCATTTACGTTTCCACTGCGCCTCTAAACGCCATTTTAAACATGTATATATGAAATAATTTATAATAATTTCAATTAACCAACAAAAGTAGTGGAAAACATGTTAACTTTATAACTACAAAAAATTCAATAAACTTTACAGTCTAAACTTAGTAATAAATTAAAAGTTGATCTTATTTTAAGGTTTTGTTTCATACAATTCAAACAAGTGTTCAGCACAAATTTAGTTTGTTTTTAGCCAAAAAAATAAAAAAATAAAAATAGAAAAATAAAATAAAAAATTATAATAAACATAAAGCGAGTTCATCATTAACAGCACTGTATGCTGCTGCGCCGCCACTTCGATTTCGTTTAAGTGTTATAACCTAAAAATAGTTGTGTTAAGCTTCAAGTACAAATAAGTCTCATTTGCTGTGAATTATTAATATTAAACTAAAATACAAAATAGGTCATTATAATGAATTTAAATTACATGTATTACTCCACCATATATGTTTTCGAGTTAGTGCCACAATATAAGCTATGATTTTCGCTATAAATTCTGCACGGTGCATTGTGTAAGCAGGTGCTGTCCAACAACAAATATGCGTGTAATTACTTTATGAGCTTATTGTCATAATTTCCACTTAATGCGATTTTTTCATTAACTATTTATATTAGAATTAAACATATAAACATATGYATGTATGTAGGAGTGTGTGGAACGCAATAAGTGCTTAGTTAATTAAACGCTGCTAAACTATGTCGCATACAGACAGACAGACAGACACACACAYACACATACAAGCCGGACATGTGGCTTTCGTACTAAAACATGATTTTAAAGTAACCGAAAAGCATGTTTCGCGCTTAGTGCCGTTACGCAACTAATAACTAACAGAATTTATAACCAATTTCATAACGAATACTACTCAAAATGTATACGGTAAAATATATTTTGCAGCAGTTTGTGCTTTAATTTTTTTTTGTTTTTGTTTTAACTAACCCCCATAAAATAGTAATTTCCCCTATAATTATTTAAATTAATTTTAGTTTTACTCGCTTTTGTTAATTCTCTTGTTTTTTTTTTTAGATATTTTTATCATGTTTGCGGCTACAACTTTCTGTCTTAACGGCTATAGAGGTTTGTTTTTTCTTTGATTTTCATAATTTTCCTTATTTATTTGAAACGGTTGTGTTCAATATTATTATTTGCATTAATTGTGTGAATTTAAATTAGAGTTTGAGTTTTTTTTTTTTTTTTTGAGTTTCGAAAAGCGTACACAATCCCATATCAGTTGAAGCACTGTATGTATGTACATATGTGTGTATGAGCAAGTGTCATGATTTTGTTATAGGTTTGCATTTTTTTTTTTTTTACTTTTGGAGTTTAAGAGAATGTCACTTTATTACATTTTMAAATTTGATGGCGTTGATGATTATAGGTTGACAACAACAGCAGTTTTTGTAATAAACTAATGATGATTGGTGATTTTAATTATGCTTTTCTCCTTCACTTTCGATATCTGCATTTAAATAACTAGCAACAATAGCAACAATAACTACGACCGCGAATTCAATATGCTTGCTTTAATTACGCTTAGCGAATGCCACACGCACTTGTAAGCGATCTTAATTACCAGCACTTTCACTACTGCCAACTGCATCACCACACACTACAACATCGCTCTTACGGTGGCCACCACCACCAACATCCTTAATAGCATCACTGGCGCTGCTGGCATTCAATTTATTATCATTGCAAGCGGCTGCGTAATCCTCCTCGTCCTCCTTGAGCATATACTCAAGCAGCAATTCGTACTCGACTCATCCTTCATTTTGAAACTCAGCAGCTGGGGACTCCACCTTGATCACGCCCAACTGTTGCAGTTCCTCTCTGGTGGCCGGCTGTGCTGTTGTACGCAATTGCGGTTGCAGTGTGTGTCCGTTGCTTTGCAAAGACGCCGAATGTATACGGCCGATGACCACGCCACCCATTGTCACCAGATTACCTTCGGGTGTGACACTGCCGCCCACTAGCTGTGCATTTATACTGCTCAATTGCACGTTGGACAATTCGCCAATTGATGTTACGTTGAAATGTTCGATTGCATTGGACGGAGCAGCGGCGGTAGCGATGATCGTATTACCATTGTTCGGATTGTTGTTTGTATGGTTATGTTGTAATTGCTGGTGCTGTTGCTGTTGTTGCTGCTGCTGTTGTTGTTGTTGTTGATGTATATGATGATTGGCGGCGGCCGCCACTGCTGCTGCTGTTGTTACTGGTGCTTGTATTGTGGTTGTGATCACATTGCGATGATGATTCGCGGGCCGTTGATGTGCGCCAGCGATCACCATGTCCTCTAGTCATCCTTCTTCCTCCTCGGTCTTTATCTTAACGGGTACGTACACCTTGTCCATAACATGTATCTTTATATGGTTGTTAAGTGTACTTGATTGACGGAATTGTTTCTTACAAACGGCACATTCGAACGGTTTCTCACCTGCAATATGAAGAAACTAATATTAATATGAAGCTCGTTTGGATAAATATTTTTATTGTCGTGACATAAATGTATGATGATTGCAATACATACCTGTATGGATTTTCACATGATTTGTTAGAGTGCTTAATTGCCGGAAATTCTTCGGACAATATGTGCAATTAAATGGTTTTTCGCCGGTGTGTATTTTTAGGTGATTCGTTAGCGTGGACGATTGACGAAAAGTTTTATCACAAACGTTACATTTGTAGGGTTTCTCGCCGGTATGTATTTTCACATGGTTGGTAAGTGTGCTTAATTGTCGAAACCGCCGATCGCAGACGCTGCAGAGAAAGGGTTTCTCATGGCCACCACCGCCACCGCTACTGCCGCTGCTGTTGGCACCACCACCTCCACCACCGTTCGTACTGCTGCCCGCACTGTGGCCGTTTGCAACCACTTCCCGACCGGCAGCGAAGTGATGCTCTGACAACGCTGGACTATGCGCTGCTGTCGCTACCAGATGCGCTAAGGGATGTTGTTGCAAAATTGTTGTAGCATTTGCACCGTTACTGCCACCCGATGCTTGCTGCTGCTCAGCGGCGGCAGCCTGAGCAGCGGCCGCTTGTGCCGCCGCCATGGCAGCCGCTTGAGCAGCGACGTGCGCTTCGGTGTTGGCAGCAGCTAGATGCATATTGAACGGAATCGGTATTTCTGTTGTAGTTGTGGCCTGGTGCTGCTGTTGTTGTTGTTGGGATTGCTGTTGCTGCTGATGATGGGCTCCGCTGTTATTATCATTATTATTGTTGCTATTAGTATTGTTGTTATTATTGTTGGCACCCGCTGCAGCATTGTTCGGCGACGATGACACAATGACAATCTCACAATTTCCCATTGCGGCTGAAGCCGCATGGGCATGTTGTAAATTTTTTATGTGCATTGCTGCCAAGTTTCGGAAATCAAGCTCTGAAGGAGTTCAGGTAGGCCGATATTACCAATTAAGGTCAAATATATTTTTGGGATATATAAATATTTTGTTGCTATTTGTTTTGGCTGGTTGATCTTATTGTAATTTAAGTGCGAGATATAAGGTGTGTTGGCTTATTTTTTCTATTATAAACCCACTTATATCATATCGGTTCTTAAGAGAATACGCATAGAAACTGTGGGTTTAGCAAAAGAATTTTGCCAGAGAGGATATGGTTACGAAATCTGCAATGAAAATTATGATTAGTGTAAATTGAAGAGAGGCTTCATTGAAAAAATAAATAAATAAATAATTAAAGAGTGTAATGATTTATGTTTAGATTTATAATATTTTATGAAAATATTTATTCACTTGCAGCAAAACTTTTTCAAAAAAACTCAGCCGTGTTGCAGAGTAGAAAAGCTGCATAGTGATGACTCGCTTTGCGCCACGTTGTTGTTAAGATATTAATGTACAAAGCGATTGGCAGAAAGACAGTGAAGTATAAAAAATATTATTGTTTAATATTCATTAGTTTGATTTGGCTCATTTTTCGTTTGACCTGTTTATAATTTATTTTGCATATATTAATAACATTGTGTTTCTCCATGAAAACTCCACAAGAATTTACAATATAGCAAAGTTGTGCGTCGAGGTTAGGCGTTGCGAGTATGGCAGTGATGACGGCGCTTAAGTGGTGACGACGATAAGTCAGCAGCGCTGCGCATTGTACCATGTGGCTTAGTAATTTTAGTTGTAAGCAACAATGATCAAAGTTAAATTGTGATCATTGCCGTACAAATTATTAACAGCTTATATTTTAGCATAGAGAAATTTTAACTTCTTATATTTTAGCATTGAGAAATTTTTTTGAAGTGACTGCGGCGAGGAAGCATTTACATATGCTTTGAATGGAATGCCAAATACGCGCGGCATGCTGCAGTGGCATACGTTTTTTACCAGCACAAATGACAGCGCACTGTGACCGCTACCATGTGCACAAAATCGAATAACATTACGACTGAAGGGAAAGAAGAGTATATGAAATACTAAAACATCATACCGCGACCCCTTACCGGAGGTGGGGATCATTTTTTCATCAAAGTTCCAATATATTACCCACAATCACGTTTTTGGCGAATCGAAAAAATATAAGAAAACAAGGAATATATATTCAACAAACCCGATTTGTGAAGTAGTTTTTCCACTTCGGCCGTTGACGTCGTCGATGCGACCATCACCACTTTAGACGTTCGCCGCACCGTGCACGCTCACTACATATCTCAACACACCGACCGTACCCCGTTCGCGTAACAATAAGCAGCGCGCACACACTCACACATAATACCGACGATATTCGTTGCTGTCAATACACCTAACGAACACTTTGCTTTTTTGAGGTTAGGAACACACACTCACTTCCCCATTCATCAACTGTAAAACGCGATCGGCTCATAAAAATCCATTAAAGCTTACCGCAACCAGCTCGCATAGTTTGCCGCAGGCTCACTACACCTTACCACTGCCAACACTTCCTTTGGCATTAAATATATTTAATATTCAAAACACTCCTTTTTGTTGACCTACCTTCTTGCACTACCTGACGACGAGGACATGCAGTGAAAATAGACTCCAATTTCCCCCCTTTTTAATTCATCTTTCCAGTTTTTCAACTTGCAAATCTCATGCCTTTCCCATACTTGTATGAATATTCTTTCCTATGCCCGCTTAGGTTTCTTGCACTTCATTTATAAAGAATGTGAAAATTTTCAAAAAATAGATAACTTTTCTGCTTCCGTACAAAAAATATGAAGTTACAAAATTGAGTTAAGTTTTTTTTTTCTTCGTTAGCAGGCACCAGACACACACAATTTTCTTTTGACGTTTGTTTGTTAATCGAAGTGTTGCCAGCTCAAACTTAATGAACTTAACGTAGTTATCGATAGACAAAAAGCCCGCTTACAGAGTTGCTTGTTAAAACTTTAAATACATATATTCATTAGAAGCAGTTTCAAAACTGCCTTTTGTTTAGCGCTATTACAGCTTCATATATTACTATAATTTGTATAAATAATGACGCTAAAACGATAAATAACAATTCATTTATTATTATTGGTTGATTTTGTCTTTAACTTTTGTTTTATTAAAATACTGTCTTTTTTATTGCTGTCATATTTCTAATAAACTAGTTACTCAGGAGGAATCGTGGCACCAACATTTTTATGGTATGTTCACACATATGTATACCTATCATAATTTATAAATGTACAACTTTTACCGGTAGCAGATTTTATATAAATTCAGTGTTTTGAATTTATTTATAAAAATAGGTACATTATATAATATAATTTTAAAAATTAGTTTTGCTTAAATATGTGTTTATGTATAGATTTTGGCCTGCGGGTTTTGCTTATCGTTTTTCAACAACGGCTAACTTCATCATATTTTCACTAAACAGCTGATTGGCCAAAATTTTGTTAGAAACGTTTAATGCAATTTGTGTTGATTTAGCTAATACTTGCGATTCAGTGAAATAAAACCACAAAATAGGTAAAATTGCATATATTTAAACCATTTTATATCAGTATTATAAGTCACTGTTTAATTATAGGTAAACAAAATCAAAATGCAATCATAATATCTTAGTCTGTGTAAGATTAGCCGAAAATATTTATAATATTGAGCATACTTTTGACGTGTTATTTTGCTCCCGGTCACGATGTGCTGGTGTAGGATACTTATCTTCTATAGAATAACGTGGTGGATCATCTGAAATAACGCCAAAATATTTCTTGAGTTAGCATTAGGCGTACATATAATAGTTGCTAACTTACTAACCATCAACTGCCACCGATTTTTCATTGCGACAAGATATACCACGCATTTCGCTGAAAAATTTGCGCACTTTACTTGTTTCCTTCTCGGTATCCTTTATCTCTTCAGCCACTTGTCGATGCACAGTGTTGATCTCTTCCTGCATTGCTTTCTTACCACGTTCAACCACATCGTCAAATTCGTCATTTTCAAATGGATTATTGCCTTCAAAGGGATTACCAGTAGAGTTTTGCGTGGAATTTACGGATGCTGTTGTGCGTTCATCATCCTCACCATTGGTGGTTGTATTAGTTTTTAGTCCACCTTTGGATGCAGCCTCTGACGCTGATGACACTGCATCTTCCTCCACAGGCGTGGGTTTAAGTGTCTTGCTTTGAAACATTGTGTTTATATTTTCTTTAGCACCAGACACCTCGCTAGCGATTTTTGCAGCCACAGAGTCAACCGCATCCTTAGTGCCGTCTGACATTTTGATAAAAACATTGCCGACGGCGTTTTTAGCACCGGTTGCTGCGCGTTTTGCGCTGTTGCTTATACTTTCGACTGTTGTCTTGGTGTCATTTGCCACACGCTTAGCGTTGTCACCCACCGTTTCGAAAGCGTCACGTGCACCTGCCGCAGCATTTTTGGCCGCCGTTTCTACCGTATCACGCACGTCGGTGGCTGCTGTAGCGGCTTTTTTGGCTGCATTTTCCATTTTATCTGTTATGGTTTCACCCACCTTTTCCGTGTTTGTTTTCAGCTCAGATTTTGTCGTTTTGATCTCTTTAGTTATGACTTCACTCACCTTTTCCGCGTTTGTTTTCAGCTCAGTTTTTGTCGTTTTGATGTCTTCATCTATTTGTGCTGCTTTATGCGCCAAGTCATCTTTTACGTCATTTGCTGCGTCGTTTACCTTCTCTAACTTTGAATCGACTATTTTTTTTACTGCCGTTTCAGCTTCATCTACTTTAATTCCCATTGTATGTGTCACCTTTTGGGCATTATCTTCAATTTTTTGCATTGTTGTTTTAATTTCCTCCCCGACACCACCGAGCTCTTCCACATCTGAGTTATGACCTTGACTGAAATTATTTAGAGTTTCATTAGATTTACTAGTTATGCGCTCCGCTTGCTCTTCTAACGAGTCGAGCGTGCTCTCGGTATCCTCTCGTTCAAGCGACGCCGCCTTTACATTGTCCGTCACATCCACTCCATTATTTATAAAACGTATTTCATTTACAACAATAGTACTATTTAGCGGATCAGTTGTTGTGTTTATCTCCACTGTCAGCTGCTCGTCCTCCTCAAATGGCAGTACAGCTGATGAGGCCAGTGCTAAAAAACAGAAAAATAAGCCTGCAGTTTGCTTCAAAGTTTGTAACACCAAGAAGGAAACATCAGAGATCTACTTAAAGTAAGGTAGCTGGTAAATCCTGCGGTTCCAAGCCAAAGATTGTCAGGTGGTTGTACGCCATGATTGTGCGACTCGAAAGCAGCGCATACTTCGGTAGGACTTCAACTATCGAAGCTGCAATGACTCGCCTGTATCCGCGTGTTGTGTGCCATGCGCACATGTCAAACGGCGGCGCTTGAAGTCATGCTGAATCTCAAACCGCTTCACCTAGTAATCGGTCGGGTTGCAGAACAGACACTGCTTCTAATGACATCAGAAGGGTTTGTTAGAGGTAAGGTAATCATGAAGGACTTAAGCGGCGAAATACCACTGACTCTTCTTCCAGGGGACAGCATTACCAAAAGTGTGAAATTCACTAAGAATTAGGAAAAGTATAATCAAATGGTACACCCGTGAGTCGAAAACGTCGGAGGAATTGACTCAGCCCATACCTATGGGTAATTTTCCGAGTATATTCCAAACAGAGGTCTTTGGATATTGGCAACAACTCTATGGTATTTGCTATACCAAGTTGCTAATGTATGGCTACAACCTTAAGTGGTTTAAATATGTAATCAACCTAACAATGGACAAACTCACTTGTTGCCTTCTACACTGGCCATTGCAAGCTCAAGAAGCAGTTGCCTGAAACACCAAAACACCTGCAAAGTGACTGCACAGAAGTCTGTAGATATAGGATTATGGCCTTTGAATCCATGTTTCCAAATAGGGATTACATCGTCTCAAAAGCACCTAAGAGTATATTGGAATTTATCAATATGCTAGGGTTAAGTAAGTCGTTGTGACTTAGGAGAGGGCATAATAGACCTTAGGTCGATCTAACGTTTGTTTTTGGTTTTATCTAAAATTATTTCAATTTTAATGTGAGAAACCTACCGTTTTTCTGCTCCCTTTCGCCTTCTGTACTTTCTGATATATTTTCCAAGCTATCCATCAGCACAGGCGATGTGCTATCAATATGATCATGATCCATTGCCGCTTCGTAAGAGAAATTTCGCAACGGTGTCGTTTTCTTGATAGTTGTCGGTGTACTCGAAGTTGTGCTGCTGTCCGGGTAAGGCGTATGTGGTCGTAGCAATTTATCGGTTGCCGGCGAAGCCTTCTTGCTTAGCGCTGTTGGCGAAAATTTAACGGAATGTGCCGATTTTATAGATCTAATAGATTTGATCGAGTTCGTCGGTGATTTTGCCTCATTGTGCACCATAGCCTCTGTAGCAGCTAATATATGTTTGGCTTCCTTAGCGGGTTCACTTTCGCTCATCTCTAGATTACCGTTAGTTTCGGTTTGTTTTATAACGTTGCCATTATTTTCCGCAACGCGATTCACCTCTATATTTTTCTCGGCGTCCGGTTCTTTTTCTTGTGTCTTTTGCTTATCTGCTTTTGTTGTACTCGTAGCGCTTGTCGACCTAGTGACTTCTGCCTTCGTTTCACTAACATTTCCATTATGTTCGTCAGCAACTGTTTTGATTACTGATTTTTCCACTGCCACTTCAATTGGTTCATTATTTGCGCCATTCGGCATCACATTACTATTCGCATCCGCCAACTTCGTGTCCTCTGCTTCAACCTTGCCGCCATCTTTATTCTCAACTTTTGTTGCACTGTGCACCTGACTCCAGCCTTTAGCACCCGTTCCATTCACCAAAGTCGGTGGCATTACGAAGGTTCGGCTCGCAAAACGATGTGGTTCAGCGCTGCCGCTCACGCTTGCTGGGACCGTTGATGAACGCGGTATGCCATGCACCAATATATGCTTATTACCCACTGCCACGTCGAGTAGACGTAAATTTTTGAATTTTGAAATCTCACGAAACGTCTTCAAATGATGACCGCTCTCCGAGAATGTCGTGTAAAACTTATTCGCTTTCGTCAGCACGGCATAGAAGGAAAAGCCCTTCAGCAATTTCCAAATCGGTCCATTTTCTTCGCTATCATAGTCGTAGAATCGCTGAAATATTAGACTTTTCGAACGCACCGATTCGATGCTGCGATAAATGCTGCCGGCATTGGTCACAATAAATATGTCATTAGTCTTCGAAATGTGCATGAATATAATTTGCTCCGTTGGTCCGAGATTTTGTTGTAGTTCGGTAAATTGTGAGAATACAAAGTCATTTAGATGACCGGAAAAATACAGCTTGCCCGTGGTGGTGAGCACCAGCGTCGACTCGGGTCCACAAACAAATTGTTGCACTGGTGCGCCGAGATCTATTTCATGTGGCTTCTGCACTGTGTGACCTGCGGGCATACCGAGCTGGTAATTTTGATTCGAGCCCCAGCCAATAAGACGACCAAAACCTGTGTGGCAAAAATTTATATAAATTGTTAAATATTTCACAAGGGGAGATAAAAATGGCGGCATAATTAAAAAAAACAATG